ATGTATGAGAGGAGTATGACAGTAGTGAGATGTGCTGTAGGTCAGACAGAGGAGTTCAAGGTGGAGGTTGGGCTACATCAAGGATCGGCTTTGAGTCCCTTCTTGTTTGCTATGGTGATGGACAGGTTGACAGATGAGGTCAGACAGGAATCTTCGTGGACAATGATGTTTGCGGATGACATTGTGATCTGTAGTGAGAGCAGAGAGCAGGTGGAGGAACACCTGGAATGGTGGAGGTCTGCTCTGGAAAGAAGAGGAATTAAAGTCAGTCGTGGTAAGACAGAATAAATGTGTATGAACGAGAGGGAGGGAAGTGGAACAGTGAGGTTACAGGGGGCTGAGGTCAAGAAGGTGCAGGAGTTTAAGTATTTGGGGTCAACAGTCCAGTGTGATGGGGAGTGTAGGAAAGAGGGGAAGAGGCGAGTGCAGGCGGGTTGGAGTGGGTGGAGAAAGGTGTCAGGAGTGTTGTGTGACAGAAGAGTGTCAGCAAGAATCCAAGGAAAGGTGTACAAGACAGTAGTGAGACCAGCTATGCTGTATGGGTTAGAGACTGTAGCAGTGAGGAAAAGACAAGAGGCAGAGATGGAGGTAGCAGAGATGAGGATGTTGAGGTTCTCTTTAGGAGTGACCAGGATGGACAGGATTAGGAATGAGCACATCAGAGGGACAGCTCAGGTCGGCTGTTTTGGGGACAAGGTCAGAGAGGCCAGATTGAGATGGTTTGGACATGTGCAGAGGAGGGATAGTGGTTATATTGGTAGAAGGATGTTGGAGATGGAGCTGCCAGGCAAGAGGTGAAGACGAAGGCCAAAGAGGAGATATATGGATGTGCTAAAAGAGGACATGAAGTTAATTGGTGTGAGAGTAAAGGATGCCAAAGATAGAGTTAGGTGGAAACAGATGATTCGCTGTGGCGACCCCTAACGGGAACAGCCGAAAGAAGAAGATTATTCATGGTTACCATGATGATACAGTACTTGTATTGTATCAGTAGTATCCAAAAGGCAATGCCAAATTTTTATTGTATTAACATGGCACTTTTTGTATCTTATAAAAAAACACAAGACTGGTATTTGTTATTTTTTGGTTACAGCAAGACTGAGAATTCCCAGATTGTTCTTTTATGGTACAAATGGTAATGTACGGTTTCCACTGAGGGGTGTGCCGGTACTTGTGCTCACTCGAGACTGCTGTGGTTGCAGCACACCCCCACGAGTTGCTCTACAGGGAGCCCTGGTCATTCTCACGGATCCACAACCACCGGGCCCAGCCTTCCTGTCTGTGTCCACTGCCATCCCAGTCCCTCATATTCTCCATTGCGTCAGGGCCAAAACCATCTACAGTATTGTTCAAAATAATAGCAGTACAATGTGACTAACCAGAATAATCCAGGTTTTTAGTATATTTTTTATTGCTACATGGCAAACAAGTTACCAGTAGGTGCAGTAGATTCTCAGAAAGCAAACAAGACCCAGCATTCATGATATGCGCGCTCTTAAG